TCCCAGCTCAGGGCCCTTCTCGGTCCAGGCTGCCCCACTCCAGGCAGAATTCATTACTCTTGCCTTGGTGTTCCCAGGGCATTTCTTGCAAAAACTCTCTCAAACATTCATATCATATGCAGGGTCACATGTGATTTGTTTCAAGCAACTTATTTAGGCCTTGTCAGTAGTGGCATTTACTCATTGGTGCAATTTGTACGTTGGCCTAAAACGTTGCCTTTGGAACGATGCTTCCTTGTATGGTTATCTACTGACATCAGGATCGAAATCTATCTTCAATATATAAATTTGGCAAATTTAATAAAAATCTATTTATACTTTTTGAATCTGAGGGAGCAAAAGAGATTGAGTGTGTGACTTTAAATGGGCAAAATATTTTCAAAAGTTTATTTTAAAATTGTTACAATTTAAAATGGATGTAGATAAAATACCTTTAAGCATTATTAAAAACATCATGGGTAGCTCTAGATTTTATGATATGTAAAGTAAATAATCAGGAGAATTTCATTATTTAAAAACAAACAAACAAACAAACAAACAAACAAACATAATCCCAGCACTCAGGAGGCAGAGGCAGGCAAACCTCTGTGAAGGTGAAGCCAGCCTGGGCTTCCTAGTGAGTTCCTGGCTAGTCAGGGCTGCATGGTGAGGCTCTGTGTCAAAATAAGAAAAAGAATTATTAGTAGTCTCAGTCAGAGTAAAGTTCAATAGTAGAGCACTTGCCTTGCATGCACGAGGCCCTGGTATCCATCCCTAACAGCTTAACATTAATATTTTAATAAGTAATAATCATTAATTGCTATTGTAAATTAGTGTAATTGTTCATTAGAATTCATAGTTTACTGAAATGGTTTAAAAGCATGTCATATAAAAACATGATCTCACCAGGATAGAATTAGAGTAAAGTTTCAACTTAAATTATAGAATTACTTGACTTTTCTTAAAAATATTATAATCTGGAAGAATAAAAAGAAATAATTAAAATTATGCATTAATCATAATCATAGCATTATAATTACTCTGTTCTCTCCCCCCCACACTGGTCACGAGCAAAGTGTAATGGCCGTTAAAATGTTCTAACAATATTGTTACGTGTAAATCACTCAGTAATTTCTTCTTTCTAGTTTCTAAAACTAATGGAGCCATTTAAAAAGAGACAACAGAGTCAGAGGGGAAAGCTGTCAGAATCTATTATAGCCACACCACAAATTTCAGTAGCCAAATCAAAAGAAATGGAAGTTGTTGGTTTTAGTCTAATTAACGACTTGATGGCTGCTTTTGGAACACGCCTGATTTCCTGTATTGTTTGGACAGCCTGTGGAGAGTAAGTGGCTATCTTCATCCTGTGAGATTATTGCCTTCCGAAAAGCGTTACTGAATCCAATCACTGCAAGGCAGTTCCAGCGATTTGTGGCCCTGAAAGGAGATTTACTGGAAAATGGAGTACTTTTTTGGCAAGAAGTACAAAAGTTTAAGGTATTGTATTGGGAACTGGAGAAAACCACTTTGGCTCAAAAAGACGGAGCATTAAGATAGGAGGTGCATGTCTGTATCATATGGATTTGTATAATATCTTCCAGTATCGCCAGTGTCCTTCCTGTGATGTTCAAACATTGACATACTCACTGTCCACTGTCTAGAGACACTTCCTGCCCCCCCCCATGATATTATTTGTGCTTTGGAGAGCAGGCCGTGTGTCTGGTACATTTCTGAAGAGTGTTTTAACTACACCTCTCCACCTCATGCATCTGTCAATGCAACACACACGTTTTCCCCCCTCTGGAGACGTTCCTAGTTGCTATATCCATAGAACAAAGACCTTCTTACAAGAATTCTTCCTAATCAAGTGTACAGTGATAATAACTAAGTTTACTGCTTTACTGGTGGAGTGGCAGGGACAAGCGAAGCTCTTCTAGAAACAGCGGCCACATTCAGAGCCAAAGAGGTAAAGGGCCGGCTTAGGTATAGAGGAAGCTTAGTTTCAGGCTTGGAAGTCTCCATTTAATCACATAGAATATGTGCCTTGGATAAGAGAAGGAGACTTCCTTCGTTTTACTGTCTAGACGTGCCTGGGTGGTATCCAGCCCCTACCTAAATACTTCCAGGGGTGGGGGCTGCTTTCCCAGCAAGCAGTTTATTCTATCTCACTGCAAAAATGCGTAAAAAGAATACATTTAATTGGGACAATGATTTCTGTTGGCTCATTGTGTCTTGAGCAACACTAATGAGTTATTCAATGAATGTTTAGTTGTTCCGTAAAAATCCAAGTTTTCTCCAGTGTACCGTGAACTTAGCCTTGTTGTTCCTGTTCTCCATTTTATATCTCTTCTGCAATATAGCTGCAAACTCGTGGTGATGTTCCTCCTTCAGCCTTGGGTGGTTTGAATAAGAACGGCCCACATAGGCTCATACATTAGAATGCTTTAGTCACCAGGAAGTTATGTTACCTGAGAAGGATTAGAAGGTGTGACCTCCAGCAAGGTACAGCCTTGCTGGAGGAAGTGTGTCACTAAGAGTGGGTTCTGAGGTTTCAAAAACCCATGCCAGGCTCAGGGTCTCCCCCACCGGCTCTTTGCTTGAGGATCAGGATGTAGCTCTCAGCTATTGCTCCAGTGCCTGCCTGCCTGCCTGCCTGCCTGCCTGCCATTTTCCATACTGTGATGAGAATGAACTAAAGAAACTGTAATCAAGCCCCCAACCAGTGCTTTCTTTTGTAAGAGTTGCCTTGCTCGTGGTGTCTCTGTAGAGTCACTGGATTAAGACAGAACTTGGTACCAGGATTGGGGTATTGCTGTGACAGCCTGACCACACTCACTGCCTGTTGGCTGAACGCAAACTTCGCAACTTTAGATTATCAAAGTAGTTTAATGCTGTAAGTGGGGGCTAATGGTCATGCTAGTAGGAGCATGGAAGACAGGGGTGCCGAGAGCAGTGTGGATGGTGATGGCCCCATTCAAGAGGTTTCAGAAGAGACAAACATTAGCAAGTAGCCTAGAGTCCATTTTGTGTGTGTGTGTGTGTGTGTGTGTGTGTGTGTGTGTGTGATATTTTTGTCAAGAATGTGGCTGCTTTCTGCCCTTGTCCAAAAAAAAAATCTGCCTTAGACTAAATTGAAGAGTTTTGTATTAATGGCATTGACAGAGGAGATTTCAAGACAGCCTAGTATTGACTGTGTCATGCGGTTATTAGTGGCCAGTCTTATGCAGATCTGCAATGACAAGGAACACCAGGCAGTGTAACAGAGGCCTGACTCATGAATTCCAGAGGGAGGCTTGAGAGTCACTTAAAAGACTCTTCTTAGGGTCATTTGCTCTCTGAGTTGAGGATCTGTGGTTCTGGTCAGCTGAGGCTAACAAGTCAGCTGTTAGTAACAAGAGACCTGAACCGAAGTGAAACCTTTGCTTTACTGGAACAATTGAGGATGGTCAGCTGGGGATGATACACTAGAGGGCTTAAGAGACTGGGATCGCTGAGGAAAAGTCTTCTGGGAAGTGTTTCCTCAGAGTCAGCATTCAGAAACTGTGTTGTTGTGATGGCCACCAAACTTGGTAGTGTAAGCGTCACCCAGATGGTACTGGCTTTGAAGGCGTGAAGGAGTTTGGCGCTGTGTGATGGGGCTGGAGTGCCTGAAGAGAGCCTACAAGGGGCTATTGGTGAAACTGCAGCCCATTTTCAACAGAAGACTCCAGCGTTTTGGAGATGCTACTACCAAGGGATGACAACCAAGAAAAGCTGTAGGTACGGAGTAGAGCCAGATGGAACTCGGAAGACAAGCTGTGTGTGATGTAGAGAGTGGAGCCAGCTGTGAGGTTAACAGTCGTGCCCTGACTTTATGTCAGCATGACCAAAAACACTTGAGGGAGCATCTTAGCGAGAGAGTGGGCCCCATCCTCACCACCTCCCAGTAATGGCTTTGTACTCTGGATCCACAAGGCTGCTGCCCTCACGATCTAAGTATCTTTGGGACAACTGTCACAGACACCCAGAGCTCTCCTTCAGCAATCAATCCCTTAGGTGTTTCTCAGTCCAATCAAGTTGACAGAACTAATTGTCACAAGGACTATAAATTTTCTCACCCCCGAAAAGCACAACTATCAAGTGTGCCAGGCATTATGCTCTTATTATAGGAGTAAAAACGTGAGTGGTGTGCACTCACCTTCCTGGGGGCAGTGGCACCTGTGGAAACAATACTAGGAAGGAGTGTTAGTTACGACCATGTTCTGATGCTGTGAGGTTTCAGCTTAGGGTAGGCGATGGCTGAGATGGAGAGACGGTAGGTCTCAGGAAGGCCTCAGCGGAAGTGCCGGTGTCTGCATCAGGTCTTGAGGGAGTGAGACAGCTCAAATGTCTTGCTGGACTAACTCTTAAATAGCTGCCTTTGAAAACATGTTTGGAGGTCCTAGCAGGGCAGTGCAACTAATCTTATGCCCTTGATGGAAGAATGACCGTCTTCCACAAAGGACCACACAGCTTTGGGAGAGACACATGGAGTAATCATGGAGGAAAGGGATGTTCCTCACCCCCACCCCCAACCAGCCAGACCTGCCAAATCAACCCCGGCAGTCAGTGGGGTGACGGATATCACAGTCAGGTTGCCCTGACACCCGAGGCTTACTCTTGGTGTTTCCCATCTGCCAGGGGTCATTTTAATGCTTTTCTTGTGGCCATGGGTTGATTATTCACAAGAAGCCTATGATATCAAGGGTGTTATAGTTAGCATTTTACAGGTGAAGATGCTAAAACACAGAGAAGCTAAGAAACTTCCACTAGGAGGTAGCTTGTGTAGTGTTGGATCTGGAATTTCAGCCCAGCGGCTGTGTTTCTGAAGCCCACGCCATTCGCCACAAAGCTGTGCTGCGTCCAAGTAGTGGCATTGGAAACAGGCAAAGAGACAGCTCAGGTAATCTTGGCCAAACGGTGTTCTAGATGGTGAAAAATCAGAAAGAACCAAGTCTACAACAGGATATTGGGCACTCAATGGAGATGCTGATTCATCTCTATAGTCAATGGAAACCATTTAGGAGAATGATTAGTGATGTAAAACGCTGTTTATCTATTGATTTCTCTAAAGCTAGTAACTGAGCAACAATATGACTCTAGACAAAATTTGTGTTTATGTGACTATCTGTAGAGAAAAGAGTTGGAAGGATGTATTCCAGTCTCTCAAGTTTTTTGGTTGACTCCATCTCTTGACACAAGGGCTAAGCTGAAGGCTAAGGGTACAACAATGACCAAACAAACAGTGTTCCCTCTCAGACCCACGGTGTCTAAAGAGAGACAGATGATTGGATAGACAGGACACTTTCAAGGCCCAGGATGTTAGGGAAGAGAGTAAGATGATGACATGTCTATTGGCTAAGGGGTCACAGAAAGCTTACTAAAAGGAAGCATTCTTAACCCTAGTAATAGGTGAGAGTTAACGGGGCAGGAGCCTTTATTCCCAGCACTCGGGAGGCAGAGGCAGGGGAATCTCTGTGAGTTTGAGGCCGGCATGGTCTACAGAGTGAGTTCCAGCACAGCCAGGGCTACATAGTAAGATCCTGTCTCAGAAAAAAAAAAAAAAGGAAATTGGGAAAAATCAATTATGATTCTAACTTCTATCCCATTAGTTAGAATTAATATTCTGTAACATTGCAATTTTGTTTTTACTTCACAAGCTTATATTCCATAATTATAATCAAGTTCACCAAGTGACTATACAGTAACCTTACAAGTAATGGTGAACAGTGAATATTTGGTAATATTCCAGATTTATGCAGTTTGAATATAAGCAGCAGAGTATGTTGCTTAAAATGTAATATTAATATCAAGCTTTTTTCCCCCTACATAATATATGGTAAACCCTACATAACATTTCACATAACTGGTGCCAAAGGTTTTCTTTCTTTAATATCCCAAGACATCTCTTTCAACGATCCGTGTTCACTGAGCCAATGTTAGCTCATCTCTGGCCTACAGTTAGAAGTTTCCAAAATTTGTTTGCTTTCAGCTGATTTACAGAGCAAAAATTCTGGCACACACACACACACACACACACACACACACACACACACACACACATGCTATAAATAAAGCCAAGCTGTCTATTTAAAAAGTACTGTCTCCAACTGTGACTTTAAAACTAGAATACTTTAGTGTACTATCACTACTTTTAAAACCCTTCTAAAAGGAATGGTGTGGTGACGTTATGGTTGAAACATGGAATACCCCCCAGGGGCTTGTGTGGCATGTGTGACTACTTGGTCATGGGGGGACGGGGAGGGGGGAAGCCATGACCTTGAAGGACACATGCCTCAACCCTGGTCCCCCTTCCTCTTGCTTCCCATCCTCCAAGAGGTGAGAAAACTCGGTCACATGCTCTGCCTACAGGAGGGTCTGCTTCCCTGGCACCCCCAGAATCCACCCAGCCAAGGGTTATAGTCTGGAACCTCTGGAGCTATGCACCAAATAGAGGCACCCCCCCATTTGTTAACAGTGACTTAAGAGCAACTCATGCAGATGGGATGACTGGAGCACTATGGATCCTAAGTCACTGTAGGGGCAGCAGGCAGGCTTCCCCCAGCCTTCTGTGGCAGTGGGCAGTGGGGGGAAGCTTTCACACCCACCTGTGACCTGGTAGGTGCAGATCCTCAGGGTCCAGCTAGGATTCCGTCACAGCATCCGAGCAACAGGCTTTCATGTGTGTCTCCTCTAGGGAGGCTGACCCCGGCCCGGCTCAGCGCCTGGCGTGTAGCAGGTACCCAATGTACGGCTTAGCTGCTGACGAATCATACCAGGTGTCAACACTGCCCGTGACTAGGGAAACAAACGACAGAATTAAATGAAAGCGAGGCACACGCACCAACACGTTAGGCTCCCAGAGTCTAAAGGAAAGGGTCTTTATTAAAGATAGTTCTGACATGTCGCTGTGCCCTCACAAGCCCAAGCTGAGGGGTATATACTGTAAAATGCTCTGAAAAATCACCAATTGCATCCTGCGTTGTCCCTCCTCCCCCCTCCTCTTCCTCCTCTTCCTCCTCCTCCAGGACTTGTGCCACTCACACTGTGATGAATCCATCATCCAGCAAAAGATCACGACCATCATCAATTGTTTCATCAACTCCTGCATCCCGCCAGCCCTGCAGATAGACATCCCAATCGAGCAGGCCCAGAAGATAATTGAACACAGGAAGGAGCTGGGACCATACGTGTTCCGAGAGGCACAGGTAATAGCCAAGGGCGACGGCTGAGCACGTGTGGAAACACTCCAGCAGTCAAGGTATTCTTTAACGCTTTTGCGTCGCTGGTGTGTGGCAAGATTTTAATCTCCCCAGTACTAGGATTTGCTCTCTCTAATGTAGATGTCTTTTGCCTACGCCACTAAAATACACGCAACCAGTAACTTAGAGAAAGGAACTAAACGATACACTCTGACTTCTCTCACAGCTCCTCCTCTTATCTACAAATTGTAAAACTACTCCAGGTAATTCCTCCTTCCTTCCCCACCATTCACGATCCCCCCTTTAAAACATCTGCTACCACAAAAAACGTGTAAGATACGTGTGTCTTAAAATCTGTGTGCTTTTAAAGACTGAAGTATTCGTTCCGCCCATAAAGTAAGTGAGAGGAGATTTAAGCGCTCAGCCGGCGGATAGTGGAACACTCGTGAAAGGAAAACCTGCCTCTTTGTACCTGCTCAAGTTACTTCTCCTTAAGTTAAAATAATAGAAAACATTGGCTTGGTGGGCATAACTTATTTGCATTTCGAAAAACCCTTTTAGTGATGTTGTTCCTAAAAAAAAAAAAAGAACAATTAAGAAAAATAAGTTACAATAGGGGTAATGAGAAAGGGCCATGTCACAGACTAAGTGACATGAAACAGATCTGGGGTGTGATTGCCCCGGAGCATGGAAAGAGGTCATGATCCCTAGCATCCATTTATATAAGCCAGCTGTGTCCGAGCCCTCTGAGGGACTGAAAGTGGACTCACCATCCAAACTACTTGTTAAGACAGGCAGAGGGGCGAGTGAGGGTGTGCAAGAGAGAAACAGAAAGCACAGACCCCAAACTGTAGCCTCTGCTAAGATCTCAGGACTTCGCCTTGCCGCCGTGCAGTCCTCACAGACCAGAACAAGACTTTTGCGTGTCCCATCCGGGGTGTGAGTGTAGGGATCCAGAACGGGACCCGTGTCCTCTGGCTTACAATGTCTGTCTCAGAGGTTAGAACATCTGAAAACACACAAGGAGTCTTCTTCTGAGGTCCCCTTTCCTCGAATCCGTAATTGTTCTTGTTTACCGAGGGGCAGGCCTGAGAGTGTCATCCCTTACTCCACAGATGCAAGCCCGAGGTCTGGTTGGTCATCCTCATGGCCTTCCTCTCCTTCACTGCTTTAGCTTAACATTGAGCGATCCTTAAAACTTAGTCATGAGTCTCCCCTGGGTGACATACTATCAATTTCCTCACCTCCTTGCCACCTCAGATCTGCAAAACCTCCGGTGTGTGGGCTGTCTCCAGCCAACATGCTGCACGCAAAGCGCTGTCCCCAAGATCACACAATATCTATCCCCTGCTTGAAATGCTCTGCTGGCTCCCTGCCGCCCGTGGAGCGAAGTCAGTTTGCTACACACCTGTAGCTACATCTCTTACCTCCCCTCCTCTCTTCCCCAGGGTCTCTGAAACAGCTGCAGTTCCACAAGTGGCCCTTTCTGTCTTCAGTCCTGAGCAGTGCCATCCTCTCCCCTTGTGTTTGTCCCTGTTGAAAGACGGATAGCACTAAATACAAAGTAGATTGTATGTTTCTTATTCATCTTTGTGGTCTCAATGGCCCGAGTAGGTATTTCTGACCTTACGGGTGTGGGATTTGTCATGACTGAAAAGGGTAAAGTCAGCTTGGAAACGAGAGCAAAGTGGCACCAAAGGGCCGAAGTCATGCACTAAAAGCTGCTCTTCTACCTTGCATCAGTCTGGCCTGTCTGTCCCCACACCCACTGCCAGCAGCCTTATGGTTTCCCCATCTGCTGGCAGTAAGCATGGTAGTCCTATATACATTAATATATCTTCAAATCTCTACATCTTTCAATTTCTGCAGGTACAGGGGAATGTGTATTAATAACCAATACTAATTTAAAATATCAACTGTGTGTTGGGGGATTATAGCACTTTTAATGCCCTCCACTGAAAGCCTGGGTCCTGCTAGAGTAACATTCACAAGAAATGCTACTGTATGACATGCACATATCTGAGGTGAGAGAATGCCTCGGGTTTTACAGAGATAACTGAGAAGCGGTGTCAGCAGATGCCAACTACTAAGACAAGCGTTCAAGCTAAAGAGACTCACAACATACAACATATCTACACACACACACACACACACACACACACACACACATGCACACACGCACGCCCGAAGTGCGCACGCACACACACACACACACTCACACACACACACACACACACACA